ATAATATAAAATAAATAAATAAAATAATAACAATATTAAAAATAATAGCAATATTATTATAATTTTAAATAAATAAAATAATAACAATATTAAAAATAACAACAATATTATTATTACAATGTGATTTCTTGTATACTTATTCTTATGAATTATCTGAAAGTTTTTTCGAGAACGTTGAAACGTTGTGGACCGGCTCTTCTTGCCAGTTTTTGCCGCTTAGAGCCAAGTTGATGATATACCCCGGCAGGTTTCTCCTGTGTTGCTCTCCATTGCTCTCCATTGGCGCAGCAGTATTCTATTTGTTTTCTGATCAAGCCCTGTGTCAGATATACTATATCTGCTGACTGCCTTGTTCCTTTTTTATAATGCGGAGCTATATTGCAGCTAAATCTTCCGATAAGATCTAGGCTTACCCTGTATCCTGATATTGAAATGCCAAAGTAAGCCCGTAGCTGATCTTCTACTATTTTGATAAAATTGTTTATTGAGAAACGGGCTTCGACTGATAGCAGCCTTGCGGCGAAGTACCTTGTGAGGAATTTATTTGCGGTTTTTCATTTGCATTTCAGCTTCTGCCAATTTGTTATTTTGATGGTTTTCCTGTGGAAAACTTTGATAATCTCGGTTACCGCCGAAATGTATCCGTAGATTCGCTGCACCATTGGACCGCTGATCACATTTTTGTTGATAGCAGATTTTATATATGCTGGCGTCGCGTAACCTTTTAAGTAACCTTAAGTAACCTTTTTTTAAATTTCCTGTAATGTTGGCGTCGTAGAGCGGATGGCGTGCCATATTCTTGTAGTGGGCTTTCCTGAGATGAATATAACCATATATGAGACGGATTTTAAATTTTCTTCCATCTCTGGACTTTTTACGGTAGACGCCGTTATTGAAACATTCCATCATTTTTCGGCTTTGCGTAGCTTCGTTGCAAACTACGATTTTGACGTCGAGTCCCATGCCCATCGCCAAGTCTATGTTTTCGACCAATAATCTGTTGCCTCCATCACTCTTGACGAAGGCATGTGTGCTGATTAGCAGATTGAACAAAATTGTTTTTAAAATCTGTGAAGAGACAATATTTAAATTAATCCTAAACTTTTTAGCTTTAGTGTCATCTAATCAGAGTAAAACTGGGATTAGTAAAAATTATCGTTGGGATGAAGATGACAATGACATTTTTGCTTCCATAAGCACTCAAGAAATCTTGGAAGAAGTGAAAAATAAAATTCATCAAGATATGGTGGGCAAGGTCAACAATGTGAGAAGTTCGCTTGTTTTTGCAGATTTTCAAACAGCGAATGATAAAAAAAACTCATATTGGAGGAACAGGAATTCGTACAAAATGAAGTAAGAGAATTTCTAGGCTGCTTACAAGAAAAGGACTGTGACAAACCCAAAGGTTTTCAAACGGCTAATGGCAAGAACATACTCATATCGGAAAAAAGGAGAAAACGTGTGGTAGGCCTCCTAAACGAATTTCATCAAAGTGAAAGTGATGGTGATATTGAGGATAATTTGCTTTCTATAAAAAATAAAGTTATTTCTAAAAAGCAAAGCATGCTGTCTGAAAAAAAAACTTTGAAGACATCTTTAAAAAGCACGAAAGAAGAAGAAGATTACCCCAGATGGAGCGACAAATTGTCAGCAGATGGGAAAAGTCGAATAGAAAAGTTGAAGGGAGTGGAGATAAGGGAAGCGATTATGCTAATATTGTATTAAGTCAATGGGTTCTTCCTCAAGATAATTCAAAGCAATTTTTATGTCACCAGACCGATGATACGTTGTTGGCTCTTAATGATGAATCCAAACAAACCGTTTTAAAATCTCAAAATACTTGGCAACATTTAAACATCGGGCATTCGACTTTAAATGTTCCAATGATGTTTCGTAAAAATCGCTTGTTGTCATTAAATCAAAAGAAAAAAGAACAAACGCCGAACAATCAGCCAGAAGGGCCATATACACCAAAAACGGCTCGAAAACATTTTTTATCGTTATGCAAGAAACCTAGCAAAGAACAACACTGCGAGATCATTCGACATTTCAAAGACAAGAATCCGTACTTATTCCTAACAATTTAAGGTCAACCAATGAACTCTGTGAGACTACGACACCCGAACTAGGGGATTTTTTTAAAAATGCTGTTGAAACAAGTACAAGTGCATCAATAGGAAATTGCCCGTTCAGGAAATGGAAAAAGATCCCGATATAGTATTAACGGTAAACCTGCAAAAGAAGTGGCGGCTATGTGGCCTAAGACATACTCGTACTAGTTCAAAGAAATAACAATGACAATACAGAGAATTGATGAAACACGCAATTAGTACTTTTATATAGTACTATATATATATAAAGAAAAGTACACAAAAATTACAATATTACGGGCGTCGTTACGTACGCCCAAAGGCAAATTTAAACGCAGAATAGCCAAATCATTCTCATTAGTAGTGACACTGAATGAGTTGGCTATGATTATATCAAGGACTTGAACTGTAAGTTCACTGGCAAATTCGTTAGAAGTGCCGGCGATAATAAATAATTTATTGGGGTTCCCGCACTCTCAACTGTAAGTTGGTAACGAATGAATATGCACATTAAAGAATCTTTTTACGCATAAAAATTATAATTAAGTTTTCAATGTTCAATGTTTCAAAACCCTTAGTGGGCTATTTTTTCACACCAATATAAAACAATAAGAAAAAGAAACAATAATAATTTTTTAGACGTTTACACGTTTACATGCGAATACGGCTACGAATTGAATTATTATACATTATTACACTCAGCGCACTGTCTGTTATATCATTTGAAAACGTCCCGGTCCTAAATTAGGAGTAACCACTTCTTGCCGGCAATTGAATCCCCCACTTGCAAATAGCAACCCTCCAAAAATAAATATCAAGGCAAAAAAATTGATATATGTTCACCTTGTGGAATACGTGTTAAATACGTGCTCGACATTGTAATGATTTATTCCTTCCGATGTCACAATAAATATGTTTTTTTGCTGTGAAATGAAAGCGAATGATAAAAACACATATTGCTTAATTTGTTTATGTTGATTTCTGCAAATAATGGTGAATTTTCAGTAATATCACGACGAACTAGCCAGACCGGGAAAATTTTTATTTTCTATAACTTTCAACGAACGCACATTTTATACTGTTTCATCCTAGCAGTAAATATCTAATGAATAAAATTTATAATGACATTATCTCTAACTGCCCAATAAATTCGCTGGTAAACATAGACCCGTACACTTTATTGATAATTGAGTCTAAACCTTTGAGCTCTGAATTTAAATAATATACATATATAAAATGAAAAGTAAACAATTTTCCATTTAAGTGGTTCGTCTCATTACTATTATGGAAGCTTCTTTTTGCGCTTTAATAAATAATCGTAATCTCTCCCATAATGTTAAGAACAGATGTCTTTCGTAATATGTTTTAATTACCTAACGAGAACTGATCGAAGACGAAGCTGCCTCACTTACCTAGCCAGATTTGTTCCAAATTTTAAGAATGCGTGGTTTAAGAAAATGTATGTTGGGTAATTATGCGTATAAGAATTTCACCATAGCATTGGATAGATAAACAGCTGCTTTTATCTGCAAGGATAATTTTGCAAGTTTTTGGTTTGGCGTGCTTAACGCGTGAGAAGCGGGTGTTAATTGTAATATTAATGAAAATTGAAAGTGAATTTTTAGAAATTCAAGTGCAACAGAATTTTTTTGTAATCTAATTACATAAACTCATCATCATTGCATTATAAGGGGGAAATGCAAGAAATAAAATTTAGGTATGCGTTGCGTGCATGCTCGCAACATATGGTAAATGATTTTTTTTTTTTGTTATTTTTGCACGTTTATCGTTTCTTGTAATCTTCATTCATTGGTTTATTTCCTATGACTTGAATTGAATTAGTTACAAAAGTGAATTTGCTCAAATATAACATATTAATATTATTTTTGATCTTTTTTTAGAAAATTTAGAAAAAAAAAAAAGAGTTAGTTTGCTGTGTCTTAAAATTCAATTTTAGGCAACAAAACAAAGATTTTGTTGTCTTTTGTCGATTTTATTTTTATATAGAAATTTCAATGTCAAAAAAACACGAACCAGAAGGAACTCATTCACAAACAAATTCAGCTAAATTAACTGTGTGTATACATGTGTGAGAGGGTAAGCGAGTAATTGCAGACAGCAAAGAGAAAATGCATAAAAGAGCGTTGAATGAGTGTTAATTAAAGCAAGGAAACAACGTTTCATATTAAAAGCAAGAGAGGAGAAAAAATGCACCACACGTATATACAAAAAAAGTGATAGCGATAAACGCCACATTACAGCAGACGAAAGAGAGTAAGAGAAATGATTGCTTAGTCTAAGCAACGTGATTATTGATCTCTTGTTTTCGGGGTCGGAGGGGTTGTTTTGATTTATGCAGTAACTTGCCATGCGGCCATGACTTTTGTTGTTACAACGTATACCTGAACATGTTGCTGAACGTGTATATGTTTGTAAATGAAAATATCATTGGACTGAATTTCTGTGGCCAATTAGTTTCTATGTCAGACAAAAATGTGACGCGTGTTGTTTCTTTGTTTTTTTTTCCTTTTTTTTTTCTAAATTGATTTTCTTTCGATTTATCGAATTTCAAGAGAACAAAAAGAGAAGGAAATACAAAGATATTTCTCTTATAAGAAACCTTGACCTCATAAAATTAATTTTTGAGTGCTTATACGTCACGATGCTTTTGCATCTCCTAATCATCGGTCTTCTAAATCGCAACATTTACTAAGCCCTACATAGGAGTATTTGTGTTTATTAGAATTTCTTGACCTCTTGAGATCTTAAGAAAATGATTAACAACACAAAACTGCATAAACTATTGATCATCGTTTTTATTTATTTTTTTTTCATTGTTTTCTTTTTATCGATGTGTAAATAATTTTATGCTTGTTGACTATGGGTTACAAGTGCGTTCGCGCTCTTTTGTATGCCTGCATGTAGAATATGCATAGGTACTTGTGTATATATTGTATTGTCACGATCCATCGATATAGAAGAAAACTTGGGGCAGTGCCACATTTAAAATAGATTAATTCAGTAGCAGTTGCAATTTTTTAACATTTAAGTTGTGAACACGTAGAGCGGAGAAAATAAAAGGAAGAAGAATATTGAAAAATTAACAAATAATTAAAACTGTAATTATTAGCGCTGTTAATAACATAGACGTTACAGGTTTCATGATAGTTTCGAAATGTTCTCACTGGAATTTGTTGCTATTGATTTTATGAGTTTGTCTTTTAGCCTTTTTTATTTTTATTTTTTCATTTCAGAAATCCAAATTGAAAGTGATTTAAAACTTATATGGCATCTATTAGCGATAAAAAAGCAATTGAAGAAAACGATCAAACTCCACAAGCACAACGAATTGCAGAAGAAAAATTGCCATTGCTTAAAGAGAGTGCAGCCACGGGAATGAGTAGTCACTTGAGTGGTGCTCAGTCGTTTGTACAGAACGCCTTAAGTCACAATAAAAGTCAAGCTCATCACCATTATCATCGTCATCATCATCACGGTCATATACCTGGGCACAGTGAAAGTAGTCATCGTAGCCACCGTAGCCAGCACGCCAAAGAAAATGCCCTCAATCGACCGGTTGGTGCCGGCGGCGGAAGCAATAAGAAGGGCATCGAAATTTTGGATTTTCATGAATCCTGGTTGGAGGAAATGGCAATGTACAGAGACATAATGTACATGCATAAGAATTCGCAGCCATTGATGAGCACTCCTAATCAGGCACTGCTAGGTAACCAAAATGCAAGTAGTGATATAAAGATATTGCGTATGACTGAAAGGGTTAATGCAACATCGAAAGTCATGGCCGCGAAGTCAGCCCACGCTAGTATAAATACTAGTAATACCAATTGTACGGGTAATAATAATAGCAGCAGCAACAATAGTAATAATGCTAAACGCAAGGGAGCAATAACGCCAACTACAACAAACGGCGAGAGCAAACAGCGAGTGCGTGTCGGTTCATCATTAGCAGGCCTTGAGGCGGCCACCAAGGAAGCGAAGCAAAATATTGGCAACAATCGGGTAACTGAATTTTTAACATGCAAATTTATGTCGTTTCGTTGATTAATTTTTCATGGTTTTTCTTTTATGCTACGTTTCGCTTGCTAATTGCTCATTTTTATTTAAAAAGTAGAACAAGAAATAATGTAAATAAAAAAAAGAAATTTATGCATGTCCTTGGAGAGGTTAAGTTCCATCACATTCGATCTTAAAGGATCCTTTCCACAATACCTTAGCTTATAGCTAGAATTCTATTAAAAATGCACAATTTTTTTTTTTTGTAAGAACATTGTTTGCAAGGAAAGTGACAAAACGAACAGAAAAATTCGCTAAAATTTATCTCGAAACGATAGATAGAAAATACATTTATTAATAACAACAATTTTTTAAATTAGGATAAATAGAAAAGAATGAAAGCTTTTGAGATTTTATTCCGAAAAAGTTTCTAAAAAGACACTAGAATTTTTCGAAAATATATATTGGTGCAAAAAATTCAAAACAATTAATTATAATCGACATGCATACGTCAGAAGAAGAACTTACTAAACACCTGTATCTCGCTGAAGGCAAAATCCAATAGCATTGCTTTTCAATATAAACAAATGTCGCTTTTTAACATAAACACCTTTTTCTTTCATTTGTTTATATGTGTGTGTATATGCTTTTTTGCTTTACTAATTTAAAAAAGTTATATTCAAAGCGGCCACGTGAAGAGACGCCCTCTATTGCGTCGCAAAAGCTTGCTACTAACAATAAAGTTAGCTCAAAACGTTCTGGAAACACTAGTCCACGTGGACGTCACAATAGTCCCAAAAAAGGTGCTCCATCTGCTCCAAATCAAACTAATTCTAATAATAGCACTGCCGTTAGCAATTATTCCAATGCAAAGAATACCTCACCTTCTACCACAACCCCGCACAAGACTAACATGAAGATCATTGTAAATCAGTTTCATGCTAGCAGCTTGTTGAGCGGTCACGAATTCGAAGAAAAAGCCAAAATACTAACACAGAATGGCTTAACGAAAAATTCAGCTTCTACAGCTTATGAGGCGAGCTTTTATGCAACTAACTATTTAATGCAAACCGATCAAGGACAACACGGTATGACCCGTATTTCAATGGGAGATTGTAGTAATTATGTTGGTGTTTCTTTAGCGAAAAGTAACGAGAGTCATCGCATCGGCCATTCAGATGATGATCCTTGTGCGGGTAAATCCATTTCCATTTCCTCTCTACACTACACTCTTTGCATCATTTTTATATTTTTTATTATACTTTATTAACATATAGCAATAGACGACGTGAATACATATACGGATACCGACTCGGAAGATGAATACGTTGGCGAACCGTTTTTCCTTGAGGAAGATATCGGCAAGAGACGTCAAAGTAAACATATACGATGCCCCTTAAATCAGCCAGAGATTCCAGAGACGGAGATTTCGGATACAACGTCTATATCAACGCAGTCCGAATACTTTACCCCGAAATCGATATTAACTCCAAGTCTGTTTCCCAACGTACCGCCTTATTTGAATTTCAGTTCACATGCCGACAAAGGTCCTACCATGCCTCAACAACTGCACAAAATCTTAAAATGGAAATTGAGTCCTGTAATGCCGAAAATTGTTAAACGTGTTGTGTTAAACTCTGGTTTTCGAGTAATCAAAAGTAAAAATTTTCGAATTTAAAAATTACGATATTTTTCCTTAATATGTAATTCTTCTCATACATACAGACACAACCGATTGGATGGCCATTTGGGAGAAACATATGAAAAGTCCTGGTTTTCGTACCATCCGTTCTCATCAAAAATATAATCATATGCCTGGTTCATTCCGCATTGGTCGTAAGGATACTATGTGGCGCAGTATACAACAAAATGTGAAGAAGTACGGCAGTCGTGAATTCGGTTTTATGCAAAAGTAAATATTCCTTCCCTTTGATGGCTGTTGAACTGATTTTCAAAATTCATCTTCTGATCAATTTGTGTAATTTTTTCTATTCTCAACTGAAAATGGGAAGGGCATGTTCGCGATAACATAAAGTGAAGAATTCAACGCAATAGTGTGTTAATATAACGTAGGAAGAGTAAAAGAACTCTTAGTTCAAATGTATATCAAATCTAGAACGACATGACATAGTCCCACTGTTCCTCTGATTCCCGTTCTTATCTATTTTTCCGTTTAACATACACGTAGATGCCAAATATCTGAGGTGTCTTCATAAAATTTGACATGCTGCCGTGCGTCATTCTCCTAAAAGTTCTTACAAAGGCTACGTTTTCATAGTCTAAACTCATATGAAGCTTAATTTTTAAATAATTTATCTAAAAAACAGGTTATATGAAAACTAGTGCTTTGAATATAAATTGACTTAAATTTGGGCCAGATAAGTCCCATGTGTTTGATCCGCTCACAACGTTAAGATTTTCATAAAGTATAACAGCCTTTGTATGACAGAAAGAGCTCATTTTTATTGCTTCATGACACGGATAGTGATGTAGAGCATTTCACGATCGGGGTCGCCTAGGCAAGTGAAGGTGCTTGAAAATAATAAAAACGATGTGTCACAGAGAAACTCATATCAAATAGCATAAGAAGTTAGTATTTTAGGTTGTATTAATTTTTTTTTAAGAATGGCTTCCAGCTTGGACGAGGGGATAACCTTTTAATTAACGAGCCATTAATCATATACTATTTAAAAATGTTTTTTTTTCGTGTTTTATGCAGATCATATATTATGCCGGATGATTTGGAGACGCTAAGGCAAGCTTGGCCTAAAAACGCTTCACGACTAACAAAGTGGATTGTTAAACCACCCGCAAGTGCTCGCGGCACAGGTATACGCATTGTTAATAAGTGGTCGCAATTCCCTAAAGATCGTCCTCTGGTAGTACAAAAGTGAGTCGCAGTCCTTTCACGTGATGGATTCGTATTGAATTGTTTGATAATTGATTGCTTGCAGATATATAGAACGCCCTTTGTTAATTAACGACAACAAATTCGATATGCGAATCTACGTTGTATTGACCTCTATAAATCCTTTACGAATATACCTATATAAAGATGGTTTAGCAAGGTTTGCTTCGGGTAAGTCACACTTAATAAGCATTAATAAACAAAAATTATTAAAAAGTTGACAAATTTTCCTTTTCTCTTTCATTGCATTCAGTTAAGTACAGTTCCGAGCTAAATAGTTTAGATGAACGTTGCATGCATCTGACGAATTATAGCATTAATAAATTTTCTCAAAATTACTCCAAAAACGAAGATTTCAATGCTTGCCAGGGTCACAAGTGGACGTTGCAATCATTATGGTCTTGTCTGGAATCACGCGGTATTAATACAAAGCGTCTATGGGCGACGTTGCGTAATTTAGTGATTAAGGCTATAATTAGTGGTGAAGCGGGTCTGAATCGAATGTACCGTCAAAATGTGAATTTTCGTTACAATTGCTTTGAACTGTTCGGTTTTGACGTATTATTGGATGAGAATTTAATACCCTGGCTTTTGGAAATTAATATTTCACCTTCGCTTCACTCAGAATTGCCATTGGATTTACATGTAAAAGGTCCGCTTATACAGGCGGTTTTAAATACCGCTTTATATCAAGTAAGATCAAGTATGATCGTGTATTCGTAACTCATATAATATAATGGTGGTTCTTCTCTTCAGGTTCCTCCGAAACTCAATGAGAAACAACAAAAAGACATTTTACAAGAATTGGAACTTGAAGGCCCGTTATGCCATGACAAACGCATATTTACTACATGCCTGACGGCCGAAGAAGTACGTAAACACAATCATTATACTAATCGTTCTATGGAACTGCGTGAAGAATATATAGATACGATATTAGAAAATTTATTGCCCGATGACGTCCGCTGTTTAATTGCCTCGGAAGATGAATTGGCTCGTTGTAAGCCATTGGAGAGAATCTTTCCCACCGCTAATACTCATGTATACTTGAATTTTGTTGATAATCCGCGTTACTATAATCGTTTATTGGATGCGTGGGAGACTCGTTACGGTCATTGTCGTGAACACGGTATTGAATTGTTGGCTAACTTGTGCAAAGAGAATTATCATTTAAATGTCTCAGACGCCGCGATGGAAAAAGTAATAGTGTGAAGCTTTAAAAATTTTATTAATTACCTCCCGCAAATTTCTTTCGTTTTTCTTCGCCCTCTTGTCATTTTTTTCAGGAGCCTAATGTTAGCGTTACCGAGATCGATATGTTACATGTTAAGAAAAGCGACGATAGTCCTCCAATGAATACATATGATACCTCAAATATGCCTATTGCAAATAAATTTAGTGATTCTGATGTTCAAAGTCAAGCGTCTAATGATGGTTTGCAAGATGAGCCAACATTAAGACCAGTTGAAGGCCAAGGTGACGAACTTCTTACTGCTAAGAATGATAATCACAATGAGTGTAAAAGTGCGCCGGCCAAAATTCTTAAAAATCTTAAGAAAATTAATAAAGGTAAACATATATTTGCGTTTGCGAACAATTTCTAGAAAGTACTTTTAAAACTCTTTCTTTCTTCTTTTTATAGAAAATGAAATATAATGTAAAGACTGAAAGACTGCTTAAATCTTAATAATAACAAATAAACAATAAAACAACAACTTTAGATGATATTCTAAACAAATAACAACAATAACAATAATAGTAATTAAAAAAACGAAAATGAAAAAAATGTTTCTTTTTTTTTTTTAAAGCGAAAGACAAAACCGTAAAAATTTGTAAAAAAGCCGAGCTATTGAATTTCACTGAAAAGCAAAATTGCAAAAGTGGAGACGACGATATCTCCTGCCAAAACACATGAAGCTGAAGCAAATATAATCTGGACATTTTTTTTAAATCGCTTCCAATAATCAACACAAAACAGCAGTCTGCTGTTGCATGTCTAAAAGTCAACTTTATCTTACTTGAGAACGACAAATCTTTAATAATCTTCGTTTCGAAATAGTTTCTCTGAATAGCTCTCACTAAGTAAAAACGCCAGACTACGAGACTACATTTCCTTTTTTATTCATAAATTCTTTTTTTTCACAAATTCTTTTCTCATGAAATGTTCTCAAAGTAATTTTTTGAAAACTCTTTGTTTATAAATAAAATATATTTTGATATTCAAAGCTATGTAACATGCACCGGTGTTCTAAATAATCATAATGATAATGAAAAGCGTATTTTTCTCGGGTAGGGCTTTCTGTTAAATCCCAATATATGATGTACCCACTTGTACCTTTTACTAAAAAAAAGCCAAGTTTTGTATGATAGTTTGAAAAAGAAAACATATGTTCGGCGGTGGTTGTATCCCGCTTACCCACCACTAGGCTTTTCGCACTCTACTTTCCCAGTTCTTGTATTTCATACCCCCACGGCTGGTATTATTAAGAAAAAATTAATCCAGCAGGTCGCGGTGTCTAACATACTCATTTTAGAATTAATCCACTTTTAGGCAGATAATGCGTAGTCCTTTGAGGAATATACAAAGTAGTTTTAAACATTTTGCACTTATTGCGTTATGATAAATAGGCGCAAAACCTTGAAAAGGTGAAAAAAGATAATTTAATATAACTTTGCGTGGGCGTGACCTATTTTTTCAATTTTTGTACGTAAGAAGTAAAGTAGAGTGTTTCGTAAAGTAAATAACGAAATTTTCAGTTTTCGAACTTTTTTATAATTGCTGAGTAACGAGCAAAAATTCATAAATGTTTGTTAAGAAAAATGGAGTTGTGCTCAGTTTGTGTTTCGCCCCGGGCTTCTGTTGTGACCAATTTGGCCCATTTTCAATACGAACGTGCAGGCAAAAGTTTCCAATTTTTCCACCCAGTTTCAAGACGATATTTTCGTTTTTGCGATCAGGAGAGTGCCAACAACAAACAACACAGAGACGGAAGACTCGGAATTTTACGTTCATTAAGAATATGTTTACTTTATAGGGTCTTTGAACTTTCCTTCTGGCGATTACATACATTATCGACAATAAAAAAAAACAAAATGATTATATCCCCATCTTATAGTGGTGGGTATGAAAAAAAACAAACGCATTTCGTGTCGATCCAAGCTATTTGACTTATAAGCAGTGTTTTTATATGAAATGAACGAAGATGTAAGTGATATTTCAAAGTAAATATATTCTATAGGTCTCTTAAAGGTGCATTTCTCTCAAAGTATCTCTTTAGTTAAGTGAAACAAAAACTTATTTTCATCTCTTTTAACATCTTCATCATCTTGGCTTAATTGTCATTTTCACTTTTAATTAGCATCCAACTCGAATTGAAACCATTTACTTTGATTTTGCAAAGAAGTAACAGTATTTTGTTTTAATTTCTCTTTGCTCTTATGAGGTGAGCATAGAGTTCTTGTTGATGTTGCTGAATTAATCAGGTTTTGAGAGTTTCTAGCAAGAGCATGGCTTGAACCAGTGTATTATTGTAATAAAAGTAAGGTAAGCGAATCAAAAATGTACCGTGAGTTGAAGAAGAGAAGGAAAATAAGATAAAGTGAAGAAGAGAAATGCTTATGTATTTTTATGATAACGTGTTGTTGAAAATGTTTCAATGAACGATATCATTTGAATACCGTTAGAAATTTAAAAATTATCATTGAGTAATATTTCAGCTTTTTTTTTTTTAAATAATGAAAGAAAATTAATTGTGTCCGAAAATTATCAATAACTTTGGGTAAATTTATTTTAATTTATTACATATTATTATCTTGGATTTTCTAAATATTATGTCACCTGGAAGTATATACGGGATTGATTCTCATGAAGTAATAATTCTTTATTTTGTCTTCGGTTCGTAAAAAACCAGTGACAATAGGGATATGGTGGCTTCCCAGGCATGCAACAAATGAACAGAAAATATTGAGCACAAAATTGAAATTATGTAACGATTTACCTCAATTATAATAATTCAATTAAAATATGACAAACTATTAATATGCTAAGGTAACCAATCTTAGAGGATACAATCGAATCGATTAAAGAGAACTTCGGAATTGAATCTTATTTAAAAAATTTTTTTTTTCGACGTCAGCAAGGGAATTGGAGATAGAACCAAGTATTTGTGTGAGTGGTTTAAAGGTCTTAGAAATCTAGGATCTTATAAAATCAATATTTTAGTTGGTGTGCTTGCTGCCGATTATGCTTTAGGATATTATTGTTGATTTGGAAATTCTTTTCCAATCATAGATTTGGCAGCGACTTAAGAACTGAGAAGGCTTTCTCAAATATTGTAATGTACTTCTGACTTGGCGAAAAAAATCATAATCTGATGATGTACAGATGAGCAAAGGTATAGTATATATATAGTATATTGTATATAAAGTATACTGTACGACCAAAAAAGTATATTGTACGACCAAAAAAGTATATTGTACGACCAGAAAGTATACTGTACGACCAGAAAGTATACTCTACGACCAAAAAAAACCATATACCTTAGCTACATAACATAAAAGCAAAAAAAAGGACAAAAGTTCTTTAAAAACCTTGGATAGTGCCCCATGGCACTACAATGGTCACTTCTTCCCAAGACTGTTCGTTACATATTAAACCATCTGAAATAGTAGTAACGCTCCAATTCAATGTACGATTGCCTTTGTTCTTTGTTGTCTTGGTATGATTTGGTATTCTTCTTAAATTCATTGGCTATTTCTTCAGGCAATTCCACCGTTTCCTTATTAAACGAACGCCGAAATTGCGCCGATATGATAGGCGACGAAATATCAAATTGCTTATTTATGCCACGAAAGCTACCGAATACCAACTTGGAAAGCCTTCGATACAGTTTCGATTTTTCCTTTCGTTTTTTTATCGAAAAGCTGTTGGAGCTAAATTCCCCCTAATAAAGTCGTGGGGTAAGCATTCATCGGTTTTTCCAAAGCCGTACTGCGCAAAAGATTTTATCTTGAAGTTTCCAAAACTCGTATCTCACCTATAGAGCAATCGTATGGATTGGAAACACATTGGAAGTTTTCGTAACATCCTGCTAATGGAAACATACAACAGTGATATGATTGTTGAGGCATCATAAAATTGGAGGGGTAACAGGCGCCAGGCATAACATCTAAGGGTACAAAATTACTCCAAGATGCAAATCATTCGTCCCACGTTTCCATGGCATTTATCAACTCCTTGGAATCAAAAACGGGCGTCTGTTACTCGTTTGTCTTCAACATTGCCACGCACTAATAGAGCTACAATAACACAAACTTTTCACTGATGTAAAAGTGCCTTGGAGCCAATGCTGAAGTAAATTCAAAATTTCCGTGTAATGATGCGATTGTAGCTGCTCCAATTCGAATATCAATACCAACAATTTACTCTCCTTTATAAGCGACAATGTTTTCTGTGGACCACTTTATAACATAAAAGATCTTGTACATCAAAACGTCCAGCTTCTTCCTTTCTTCTTGGATATAACCCATCACAGCGCAAACGTACATTCGTAGCGATGGTACAAGAACTTTACGAACCGTTCGTAACACTTAATTACATTTATTTAATAGAAATATATGTTTTGCGCATAGTATGCAAACATTTTCATATTGTAACACTATCTCTGAGCAAGCATACAAATGGCTGCTAATTAACAGCGTTATTACTGTTATCCATAGCAGAAACACAGAAATTCTGCAAAGAATTTTGAAAAATCCACATCTCAGCGAATTTTCGGTTGTTGGTTTGCTGAACCATAGAACCAAGAGGAAGAAGTCGAATTTAGAAAAACTTTAAATTATTTGTACGCTTTTTAATATTTTTATTAACATGTTAACAATTTTATGTAGATTTTTGAACATTTTGTCCTAATTTTCAGTCTCACTTTTAATTAGGAGTTAGATGCGAACGAAACAAGTTTGTTTGACTTTGCATAAAACCCAACAGTACTTTGTTTAAGTTTCTCTCTACTCTTTTTAGCTGACGGAAACTAATCAGATATTGCTGAATATCGTTTACGATAAATGAGTCAGTTTTTGACTCTTTTTCGCATGGGCAGGATGCCATGGAAATCTTCTTAGAAAGTTAATTAAATAAAAATAAGTGTTTGATATTGTAATATAAGCAATGTAAGTGAGTAAAAAGTATGTAATGAGATGCAAAAGAGAAATTCTCTGTAAAAGAAAGAGAAAGCAAAGAAAAAAGTGATGTGGTGAAAAGTAGTGCATCTCATGCGCGCATTTTTGTGAATACAAGTGTAAAGTGCAATAGTTAAAAAGTTTTGTGTGTGTTTGAGTTCCTTTATAGCTTGTTATGCTATATGAAGAAACGACGCCCAAGAAATTGCATTTTCTTGTTTCAAACTCATCGTCCAACATTAGCAATATCCAGAAGAAAGCTCGAGAGGTTCTAAAATGTATATTGTATTCTTGGTCAGTATTAAATTTTAAATCGATTTAGTCATAGTCAGTCCGTCCATATGTCTTGATCTTTGGATGTGTGCGATGAGCATTGTCCCAGTCTAAAAGATTAAAACATCGGCTTCAAATTTGGCGAAACCATCGATCGAAGAACGCGCCCAAATTGCAAAATGAACTGAGAACAACTCTGTCCTCACAAGTAAAAATATTTTCTACTTCAATTGTACAAATTTTGAAATGAAGATAGTCTTTGCGTTTTGTTAATAAAGATCTTAATATATATATTATACAGATAT